GGCCTCTGTTCTCCAGGGGTTGTGGGGGTGGGGACCCACTGCTCCTAGGCCTCTAGCCTGGCTCAGAACAGCCCCCCAGCCCCCAGGAAGGCAGGCAGGCAAGCACCTCTGTCACCTGCTGAGGAGTCCGGGACACCCTCTGTGTGACTGGGAATAAGGACCCTTGGGAGAAATCCTGGCACTCCAAGGGGCTTCCTGGGAGCCAGGGGGTCTAAGGAAATTACCTGCCTTTGGAGGTAACACGGAGGGTAGCTGAGGTCCCACTGCGCTGTGGGTCATGTCACCTCCCTCCCCCCCGCCAGGCATGGGGCAAAGGCTCACATCCTGCCCTGGGGCTTGGGCCTGGGTGGACTGTGGTCCTCAGCCTTGGGACCTGACTGCACCCCGTTACCCTAGCACCACACACTTCTGGCCCAGCCCCGGCCAGGTGGGAGAAGACCCCGGACTCCAGCAGGTGTGGTCTTCGGCAGAGAACGATGATGGATGGGGCACAACCTGAGAACTCACATCCCTGTGTCCCAGAGAGTCACCTTCCGGGCCGGGCTCCTTTCATGCTGCAAAGTGACGACCGAAGTTGACCTTCCTGGTGCAGCCAGGGGTCTAGCACCAGTTGTGAATGCCCCGGATGATGAGAACACGCATTCCAGACTGTCCGGGGCCCCCTTCTCTGGGCTGGACCGGGTGAGGTTGGGATGCACCGGAAGTAACAGGAGATGCCATGTGCGTGGGGCAGAGGTGGTCACCAACACTGCCTTCCGGCCAGCAAGGGCGAGGTGGGTTCTGGCCTTGGCCTTGGCCTTGGCTGGAAGAGCTGTGTGGCGCTCTTGCTATGAAGAGCTGGGCCTGAGACAAACTCGCCTCCCACCCACCCCAGCCCTGCAGCCTGAGCGTCATGACCACACTCACCCCTCGCCCCCTTCCTCATGGACTGCCCTGAGAGTGCTCCCCCCTCACCTTCCCTGGTCCCGCTTTGCCTCTCTGGGCAGAGGGACCAGATAGACAGGACCTCCATAGTGGACCCCACAAGTTCTGGCAAAGGCAGGCAGCTGGAAGGATCCGGGGTGGGGGGGGGTGTGTGCTAGCTGGCCCTCAGTCCTGCCAAGAGACAGACGGGGAGCCCCTGAGAGGTGCGACTGTCCCCCTGGCTGCTTGCTGAGGTATCTCCGGTTAGGGCTTCCCCTGATCTTTTTCTTCCTCACGCGCCCGCTTCACGGGCTCAAGTGTCACAGCCCCCAAACTAGAACAACAAGAAGGCAAATAATTTAGAAGGAAGTCTGTGTTTGCCGCTGCCCCCGCTGCGTGTCCTCTGAGCTGGCGGTCTCTGAGGCAGCACACAGTGTAAACTTGACTGGAGGGATAGGCGAGGCGGGGCTCATGTCCCCAGGGAGGTGGCGGGAAGGCTGGTGCCTGGGTGCTTCGGGTCTTCCCCGAGCCGCCCTTTTTCCTCGGAGACTGGCACAGGTGCCCTGGTCCAGCCCCAAGGCAGTCCCCGGGGGGTGCCAGGGGAAGTGCCCCCAGCCACTCTGGGGCCCAGTGTCTGGGGAGTAAAGCGGTGCTGGGTCGCCGGGGGGCTGGTGCCCAGAGGTCTCGGGAGTTGTGTGGGCTGGCCGTGCTGATGGGCATCTGACCCTGTTGTTCCCACAGTGGGCTCCACAGCATCTGGAGGGGACTTCGGACTCCCGGGAGTAGAGAATGGCGGTGGCGAGGCCAGGCCAGGGTCCGGGCTGGTGTCGGGGCCCAGGGCCGTCTTGGAACAGGACTCACAGCATAGCCGGTGGTAGCCAGGGATGGAGCAGTAGCGATCGAGTGCTTCCGTCTGGCAGGAGATGGACCGGTCCCCCACGCAGGGCTCCGCTGCATGCATATGGCACAAGGACCACTGCCGGGAGGACGCCTCCATCTCCCACTCGGCCCCCCCAACCGCCGGCCTCCAGCTCCCGCCCTTGCTGGACCTGCTCTAAAGCTTTGCCCTGGAGGGCGCCACGGGCCTGCCTGAAGGGAGAGCCTGGCCAGAGTAAGAGCCCTTATTTTACGGAAGAGGAACTGAAATCCCCTAGAGCAGTGGTTCTCAAAAAGGGTCTCCACACATGAAGCATCGGCATCGTCTGGAAGCTGGTGAGCAATGCCAATTCTCAGGCCCCATCCAGACCTACCGAGTCAGAAGTTCTGGGCGTGGGGCTTAGTTCTGCGTTTCAACGAAACCTTCAAGTGACTCCAATGCGTGGACCAATCTGAGAACCACGGGCCTACATCAGTAGTCGTCAGATGTGGCTGCTAAGTGGAATCCCCCAGGGGCTTTCCAAATAGGCACTGCGCACCTCCCACGCCCGGGGAGACTGGACGGCCAGTGTGGCCTGGGCGCTGGGTGGTTCTGACCTGCAGCAAAGCTTGGAAACCCTGCTCTCGATGAAGTAGGAATCCTGGTCCCCTCCCAATCCACCCAAAGGAACTGATCCACTCGGGCCAGGGCCAGGCAAATGCCCAGGTAACCCACACTTGGGACAAGCCGAGGCAACATCCTGCCACCCGTCAACACACATTTGGAACACTAAGCCCTCCACCGATAAATCTGGAATCAAGCAGATCTGGGTTCCAACTGAGGCTCCACCACTGAAAAAGTGTGAGCCCTTGGGCAAGCCACTGAAGCTCTCCAACCCTCAGTCTCCTCTCCTATAAAATGGGGATAATGCTAGACACTTACCAATGAACAATAACATTATGATTATAAATAACATTTATAAAGTTCCTGGCATATAGGGGTGCCCACTGTATAACTTTCATTTGCTTTGGTTCAGATATCTAAAAATCGTTTTGTGTTTCTGTGATAATTCCAGGTAGGTCTCTCCAGACAATGTGAAGGCAGGAACTTTGCTTTCTGCTAATTTTCTGTGTGTGTGTGTGTGTGTGTGTGTGTGTGTGTGT